GCTGACTGGTCACCTCTCTCTATGCGGAAGGCAAGCAGGAGAGTGCCAGTGATAGCTAGGACAGGCAGGAGTCACTAAGTACTTACAACGTTCAGGCACTGTCTGTAAACTAAACACATAGACAACTCTCTGAGGGAGAAGATGTCTCCCTTTACAGGCAAGGAAACTGAGTCACAAAATTTAGTCACTTGCTCACAGTCACACAGTATATTGTCTCCATCCTGGCTTGGGAAATGAGGAGGCACAGTTTCCTGACCCTGGTTCCCTTTTCCCCAAGGATGGGTGGTTCACTCACTCCCCATAGCCCTTGCTTTGGCTGTGGCTACATCCTCTTAGTTGGGGCCCCTTTGCCTCCATAACTCCTGGATTTTCTTCCACTTGGGGTTCTCACTAGATGCCTAGGCCTATATTTCTATAAGCGTAATCTGACTCAGGCCCCTAAAGGACTTCTGGCCAATCATCTTTCAGGTCTTTAGGGGCAAGGAAGCTAAGTCTCATTTCTTTTTGAGTGATGATTTAAGGAAAAGCTCCACTGCACCCTGGACCCCTGGTCTCACCTTTAGTGGCCCCAGGTCACACTCCTCTGTACCTTGGTGCCTGTCCCAGCCACGATCAGTCGTGGGCCACCAAAGGTAGCCCCAAAATAAATCCTTTCCTTTTATGTCCCCCTCAGGCATTCTTGAGACTTTCTTCTTCCTTCCCCTTTAAGTGGAGACCCTAACTGTCCCCTTTCTGCCCCAGCATCCCTTTGGAGGGCAAGGATCAGGTGAGGCAGGAGGATGTCATCCCCATCCTGGTGGATCTTCTGAAGGACAAGGACCATGAAGTTCAGGCCAATGCTGCTGGAGCCCTGATGTATGCCACAGTGACCACTGAAGGTAAGCTGAGGGTAGCCACCCCAGGATGCCTGCAAACTGGGTGGGTCTAAGCAAGAGGGGGAAATGAGCTTCCTAGCAGGTCAGCAGATTGGGTGAGCTTTCCTAAGCTTGTCCTTCTGCTCAGGGGTCTGGTATTGACCCCCCTCACCCCCACCCCTTCAAGCTCCATCAAAATCCTCTTCTTGGCCTGTCATGGAAGTCCTTTTGAGGTGTGGTTCAGTGCTCAGCCCTTTTTCTTCTTCCTGGGCACAGGCTGCCTGTGGCCTCTCATCAGTCACTTACATTTACACCAAAGTATTCCCTGGGCCTGAAATTTCCATCTCTGACCCATGCCCTCTGTGAGCCATGAAGTGATTCTGGGATTGATTAGTTTGTAATCCATGACTCTGTTATCCTGAGGTCTAAGGGAACTCTGCCCTTGACTCTGTTTCTTGATCATAATTGTTTATCTCAGGTTGGGGAGGGGAACAATAAGAGTACAGAATTCTCTTTCCCCAGGTGCCCAGCTTGGGATTCCCAGTGAGTCAGGCTTTCATGTTGTCACCCTAGGCTGAGGGAACAGATCTTGGTTAATCTCCATGCCTGACCATCTGGGGTATGGTGTGCTCCTTCTGACCCTTAGACCTTCTGAAAGCTGTCGGCCCTTCCCCAGTGGCCTATACTCACCTGTACCAGCCCTGTGGTATGTACTTCTAGCTTGTTCCAAGGAGGACTCTGTGTGCCTTGGATTCACAATCAATATACCACAAACCCTTCCAAAGACAAATTCTCCAATAAACTCCATACTGGACCAGAATGAGTCAGAGGAGCAGAGGTTGAGGTCTTCTCAGGGTCCACAGCCCAACTCTCCACCATGTAGTCAGGATGCTGACAGCAGGGTGGAGGCGGGGGTGCCCCCTGTAATATTCATATTCAGCTCAAGCTTCCTATGGGAACATTTGCATGGCCAGGGAGCCCGTGGGGATTCAGGCAATAGCCAGAGACAGAGCCCAGAAGTCAGGGATGTGAAGCCACTTACCCTCCAGCACGTACTCTAGCTGAGGGACTCTGAACCCCTGGCACAGGCCAAGCCTTGGGCTGCACAATGGGAGCGCAGTGGCAGGAGAGGTAGACTGAAGTGACAGGGTAGAGTGCAGCGTGTGGTAAGGGACATGATGGGGCCAAGTCTCCCTTGGGAAGGACTTGCAGACTGACCCGAAGCACAAGGTAACTAGGAGGCTAGCGTGGAGAGGCCTTCACAGCAAAGGCACTAGTTTACTAATAGCAGTACTTAGTGGCAAGGGGTCAGGGAGAGCATCTCATACACAGTAAATATCTGTTAGTGTCACGAGGGCAAGAACCACATGGCTGGTTTTTTGGTTGTTGTTTTTGCATGTTGAGGATTGAACCCAAGGCCTTACATATGCTGGGCAAACACTCTTGAGTACTGAACTAGACCTCTAGCCCCACTATGTGTTTTTGTGCCAGGGGCAAAATAGTTGTTCAAGAACTATCTGCCACATAAATGATTGCCTTTCCATTTTAAAAATGCCCGTTTGTGTTGCTTTGTGAGGACTAATTGCAGGTTAGGAACTAGGTGCATGTAATGAAGCCAGTTAGAGGGTAGGGGAGGGTAGGGGACTAGGGGCCAGGCCTACTCCCCAGGCTGGACTGGGCAGAAGAGTACAAGAGAGATGGGGTGAGAGAAGAGGCTGGTTGCATGGCGGTAACCATGGAGGGGAGCAAGAAGAAGGCTCCCTCAGAGTGGCTGGCTAAGAAACCTGCTGTTGGTTCCCTGCAGGGAAGTATGCGGCCCTGGACGCAGATGCCATCGACCCTCTCCTGAAGCTGCTGTCTTCATCCTCGACCAAGGTACGCCTGAATGCTGCCAAGGCCCTCACCATGCTAGCTGAGGCCCCCGAGGGCCGCAGGCGCCTGCAGCCCCAAGTGCCCGCCTTCCGTATCCTAGAGTCGGAGAGCAACCAGACCATACAGCGGGCAGCCCAGATCGCCATCAAAGTGATTGAGTGGAAACCCTGAGCCTCTTATCAGGCAAAACCTGATAAGCCACCTCCATACCTGAATAAATAGGCTGAATCTCTTTATTTTGGGTCCCAGTGTGCTTTATGTTCCTGGAGCATGGTCACATCTTTCTTTCCCGTCAAAGGGGAAACCCCATCCCCAGAAGGACTAGGTGCCAGGCAGCACAGGGCTGGAGTCCCCTCCAGAGGTGGAGCACAGGGCTGAGCCCTCCAGAGACAAGGGTTGGGGCAGGGAGATGGTTGCAAGGTAAGAGGAACATAGCTGGACTAGGCATCAGCCAAGCTTGGGAAGCTTGAGGCATCAGGCTCCTGGGGTACAGCTGGGGGTGGCCCTGTTGAGCACTCTCACCGGTGCCCTGTTCAGCTACTCTTTCTACCTTCTTACCCTGAGCAACAGGAAGGTGAAAGGTATAACCTGATGTGGACTGTGCCTACAGAGGACTGTGCCTATGACTGATTCATAAGAGAATCCTTTAGGGCTGAACACTTAGGACAGTAATAGGTTCAATTTCTTTGTTAAAACCGCTCCTCAAACAGCTGCATTGTTCTGCAAACCAGGGAAGCCACTGGAGTGTGTGTCCCTCTTGGGCCATCCTAAAGCCCACTGTGCCATCTCCTCTCCCCTTGGCCCTGTAAGTGTCAGGGTAGCCCTTTCATGAGCTTGCCTCCCACCTACGCCTCTGTGATTTTACCTCCACAGGGAGACTGAGGCTTGGGAATGAGGCTAGGGAAGTGGTTGAGAGAGCACCTTTATCTCCAAACCATCCTTGCCTGGTCTGACCAAGTGAGGGTTCCTCTAGTTTTGGGAGAGAAGCAGTGGTTCTGACTTCTTCTAGAGCAACTAGGGAGGCAGAGCTCAGCTTCCAGGCTGGGCCCTTTCTTTGCGAGCTGAGCTGGAGCCTTTACCTTTCCCCAAGGAACTTTTTGAGGCTCCCTCTTCACCAACCAAGAGTTGATTCTGGAAAGAGTTCTTAAAATAAATATTATTAGCAAAATCAGAGCCCTAAGTGAGCCTCATCCTGTAATCCTTTCAGCGAGCCCCAGGGACCCTCAGGTTTTTCAGAAGAAACACAGAAGTTTGTGTCTCTTATGGTTTGTGTACAGATGTCCCCCCACTCCAAGCGTCATGCAGTCATAGTTTTTTTTTCTTCTTTCTCAGAAGTGGCTGAATCTAGAATGTGTGATTGATTTGTAGTGTCATGCTGGAATTAAGCATGCTGGGATAAAGGGTAGGTGACTGCTAGATCAGTCCACTGATTGGATTGGCATTGCCCTAATCACAGTAGACTGGATACAATGCAAGGGACAGAAAGAGGCTTGTTCCTCTCACTCCCTTTTGCTCTTGTTGCTTTTGCTGTCTTCTGCTTCATGAATGGTTGCCCCTCTGCCATGTGCCACCCTGCCTCAGAGCCAACTGACAGTGGACTGAAACCTCTACAAACTGTGAGCTAAATAAACCTTTCCCCTTTCAACTTTGGGTGTTGGGTATTTTGTCTCAGCAACAAGAGAAAAGTGTTCTTGGAATTAAAAGACTATCCCAGGTAGGCCCCTTAGTCTGAAAGAGACTGGGTGCTGGGCCCAAATGGAGTTTTCTCCTTCAGGAAAGCAGGTACTCCAGGGGCTCCACACACATCGCAGTCCTGTCTCAACCTATAGCAGGATGGCTCTACTCCTGCCACAGGAGTAGGCTTCAGCCAAGGTCAAACATCCCTGCCACCAAGACCCTGCATTCTTGGTCTTAGTTGTGTAACTCTCTTTTGCTACCTGACCAGTGGTGCTAATGGCTCTGTTTTAGGCCACTGCTTGTCTCATTTTTCCTGGAGAAGCTCATCTGTCTGGCTGTGGGCCTCACCTACCACCTTCCTACCTGGGTCACTTTCCTACTTAGGCCTATCCTCTGCTCTCCTCTACATCTGGGACTCTAGTCCTAGTCTCTCTTTTGAGTTCTGGTTCCCTATAGCCAACCAAACATTTACCCTTACATGTCTCTGGGCAAGAACACCAGTCATTCACATGGCTAATGCTCCCCTGATACTTAAACCAAAGAAATCACAAGAAAACTACAGACCAGTTTTCCTTATGACAAAAAAACTCAACCAAAGATGAGCAAACCAAATTCATTCAAAAAACACTGTATACCAGAACCAGCTGTCCAAGGAATATAAGATTGATTTATGAAAATTAATGTATGTAAATAGAAGAAGGAACAAAAGTCAGAACAAGCACTCCACAAAATCCATGCCTCTGCAGCTGGTAGCATTTGACACATGACACTGAGGGAACATTTTCAGTGGTATACATGTTGACTCCATATTCTTGGGTCTCCCAGGAGGAAATACTCCATCTCTTTTTTGATGAAAGTCTGGGAAAGGCAGCGGCTTTGGTGCCCTTCAGACACCCTAGGCTTGAGCTGCTTCAGGCAAAGTACATGTGGCCAAGGATCAGGAGTGTGATCAGAATGGTCCCACTGGAACTGATCACCTTCTTCCAGTAGGGCTTTTCCAACATATCAGTCCTCTTTGTATCTTCCATATTCTCCTTGGTTGCCTTCATCACCCTGGATAGCTTCCCTTGAGCCAGGCCATCTGCACCTTCTGGTGTGTCACCTTGCTCCATCTTTTCCTTACTTACTTCCATCTTTATGGAAGCCTCTCCAGAGGCCAAAACCTTAGCATCTTCCAAAGTATCACTATGTTTCCTCTTCCCAGTTGCCTCTGTCTTCCCCTCAGTTGCTTTTATCTCTTTGGTGGCCTTTCCAGGGGTCACCTTGTACTTCACCTGTGGCTCCAGGCCAAAAAAGAGTTGAAAGGCTTCCCAGAAGTAGCTTTTGGAATCCCCGAACATAGCTAGAACAGAGGGAACAGGCAAAGGTAAGAAGGCATGTAGGCCATGATACAAGAGAGAGGTGTTTTTAGAGATTCACTTCTCAGAACTGAGTTCAGTGTGGAGTCCAACAGACACACTTATAGACATAGAATGCCTACAGTCATATTCAGAGACATGACTTAAAACAGAGGGCAGCATGTGGGACTTGTGATGTGTTGTAGGGATGCAGTGTGGCTGCAGGGTGCTCAGCTGTGCCCAGGTCCCCTTGATTGGGCACCCAAGTGCCATGGGAGCCCTGCTTCTTCAGGTACCCCACACTGTGCTGCAACGATGTCCTTTCCTGTCTCTGCAGGTCTAAGGCAGAAGTTGCTGCTCCTCTGAGTGCCCTGCTTCTAGTACTACTCTCTGGAGGGAGGAGGAAGCCCAGTAAGTTCTGGAAATAGCTACTGCTCTCTTTGGCAGTTTCTGAGTGTCTTTTCCAAGCAGCTGTCTGTCTCTGTGCTTGGCCCCATAGGACGCTTGGGAGCACTTTCTAGTGTTGTGTGGGGCGGGAGAGGCAGTTTAGGAATTACAGGAAAGCTACCATTCACTTTTATAGGTCAAACTAGTGGAAAGGCCTATGTGTAGAGCTTGAGTATTGCTCCATTGTTTGGGCTGCTGACACAGGCCTGTCCCTTGGGGCCTGTGCAGGCTCGGGTCAGCACCACGGTCAGCTCCAGCACACTAGCTTGGGCCCAGCCACTGCCTGGAACGTGACCTCTGAGCCATTCCTTGGATGGCAAGACAACCCTGTTTCATTCCGAGTGGACTTCCAGCATGTGCAATGTGATTTTTTTCTGTCTCATCTCATTGAACAACTTCCAAGTCAGTGTCTCCTATGCTCCTGTCCTTGTAGCTGAGGCTTGTAGAACCCATCAGCCCAATGGCATAACTGTCACCCAAATCAGCCAAAGCTGTATGACAGGCAGTTGGCTGGCTTGGGGCGGAGAGACCAGACTTTGGAATGAGATTGCCCGTGTTCAAATCCCAGCTCAACCACTGACTGGTTATCTGTGGGACAGAGATGAGTTACCTGACTGCTCAATACCTTAGTTTCCCCAGCTCTAAAATGGGATAGTAACTATACCTATCACATTTAATTTGAGCAGCACCTGGCACATTGTGGGCACTCGGGAGGCCAGTTTACATCTTGGTAGAGGAGAAGAGCCATCAGAGGGAGACTGCAGCCCCATAGCCTCCAGAAGCACAGGATCTTATGTTCATTCATTACCCCACAGAAGTCTACAGGGCCCTTCCCAAGCAGATGCCCGTCTCTTACAGGTGTCAGGAAAGACGCTCTGCCCTCTCTGGGCTCTGAACTCACCAGGCAGGAGTGGAAAGGGGAAAACCCTGTCTTCTCTGGGTTTTTGCCAGGCACTAGTCCGCCCTCCCCCAAACTCATAGCTTCTTCACTACTCTGTGCCCTAGACTCAGGACTAATCTCATTATTTCCTTTATCCCTGATTGCGTCAGGGGCTGCAAGAAGCTCAGGTCACCCCACCCCCTAGCTCCTGGAACACTCCTTTTCTGACCCTATTTGCTAAAACCCTTTCTCTGACCCTCTGGAGGCCCTAGGGGGTCAGCCTGTTCCAGGGAAACTGTCCTTTCTCACTTGGCCTGACACCTATTTCTCCCCCAGGTTGGCTTCTAGGGTGCCTTCCTTCCCTGCCCCTGTACCCCCATTGGAGTGGGCCATCTCCTACCCGCTTCCAAGGATCCTCTGGTTTTGAATCCCTGCGCTGCAGTCCACCCTCTTCCCTGAGCTGCATACCACCAGACTGTTTTGTGGTATGAAGCACAACATGGTCTGGGTGTGGCTAAACCCAAGGGCCAGTTCTTAGGCCGCGTCTTCATCCATCAGCATTTGCCTCAGTGGATCTGCCTTTTGAAATGCTGCTAGGATGCCAGTCACTTCTGATTTTCCATCCCCTTGCTGGCTTCTCCTCATCACCTGGTTACCCTCCAGTCAAGCCCAACTTCTCTTGTCTCCTTCCTACCCTCCAGCGATGACCCACCCAGTGCATCTGCTGCCCTCTCCCACATTCCTCCTGCAGCCCAGCCTGCTCACCACGACCTCCCAACTTCGACATGACCTAACCAGTCTCAGGAGGCACCTGAGGGAAAATGAAAGCCCAGGCTCTTGCCCTGAGACATTTCTGAGGGTGAGGATAATGGGGCAGAGGAGTGTTGGGGTATCAACACAGGCCACTGATCACCTAAGAGCATGCCACACAAGGTCACTCCCCAGGGCTGGATCTTCCTTCTCACCTGGTGTGGCTGCGAATCTGGGGAGTCTCCTCCATGTTCTGTCCCTGTCCAGATCTACCCTCTTCTCTTGGCTCTTTCGTAAGCTCCAGCAAAGCCCGTGGAGCTGTGACAGGGGAAGCATAGAGAGAGTAGGGGCATGTCACCATGGGGCCTTGCTGTGCAGCCATATAGTAACATGGCCCGCTGCTGGGACCAGAGCTTGATGGACTAAAAGAAATCTGGTTGTTAAATTAACAAAAGATAGAAGGAAGATGGTAGAAGGAATCATGGGAACCAGGACTCTGAGTTTCAGTTCTGGCTTAGGTACCATGTGGTCATGTGACCTTAGCAAGAGTGTCACAACCTGTATGGGCCTCAGTGTAAAACAAAGATTTGGAGACAATGAACTTGGGGCTCTTTCCTATTAGGAGGGCCCAGGAACCCAATATATACCCATCCTTTTCGGGGTGGGAGAAGTTGCCCATTACTCTGAGTTTACTTCTGGCAGTGTGGGGGTGTGTGTGTGTGTGGTGTGTGTGTGTGTGTGTGTGTGTGTGTGAGAGAGAGAGAGAGAGAGAGAGAGAAGCCCTGCCATCTGGATAAGCAGGACATGGGAGACCTGTGCTGTCATTCTAGAAGCCCTGCTGAAGAGGGACTGTACCTGGCCCTGGGGTCAGGCTCAATTCTTTAAGTTCAACAGGACATTTGCAGATGCCAAAGCAGGCATACTTCCCTTCCTTTCCAGGCTCAATTTTTATTTTTATTTTGGTACCAGGAATTGAACTCAGGACCTTGCACTTGCCAGGAAGGTGCTTGCGCTGCTGAGCTATGTCCCTGGCCCCCTAGGTTTTATTTTTGATTCCTAAAATCCTGTGTGACACTTTGGGAAGTAACCAAACTGAGCCAACTGTTGCTTTTTTGGAGGGAGGGTTAATGTGCATCTGAGTGAATATTTTCCACCAAATCTGAGTCTCTCCTGGAGTAGATAAACGTGAGTCTATCGCGTCAGCCTTGGTGCAGGCATAGGAGAAATCTCTGCCTTACGTGCTTTTGTGCTAACACACAGCAGGATGCTTATGAGCCTCATCAATTGAGCAGCTTTCCCAGCTGCCCAGGTGAAGGCCTGGTCCTACCTGGGACTACAGTTGTGCTGTGTTGATGACAGTGACTTGGCTTGAGCTTTAACTGCTTCCTGATGATACCATACGTGCACATTTTGCCTTCCCAAGAACACTACCAGCCTCCTATGGATGAGGTTGCTACGTGTGCTCGACGGTTTGGGTTCCAGTGCTGTAGGGCATCTACAGGCTTCTGAGCATGGATGAGTTGGGTGCAGAGTTCCATTCCCCTGGGTGTGGTGAGCAGAGGCACCATGTCGGGAGGGCCCAGGCCTAAAGCTGGCATGTGGTCACTAATCCCAAAAGCTACTTTTTCTCTCAGCTCTATCCCCTGTGGGCAGTTATTGTTTCTTTTTCAGGGCACTAGTATGTAACTAGGCAGCTGGGAGATACTCAGAACATACTTAGCTGGTGGAGGAGCAGACACAAATACACAGTTGAGGTTAATAGAACAGCAGAAAAAATATTAACAATCTGAATGATGAGTACCCTTAGAAACCGGAAATTTAAAAGTCAGCCATCTCCAGCATCTCAGAGTGTGAGGAGCAGGGGAGTCTCCTGTGGTGTGTCACTGCTGCAAGGAGACTCTGCAGTGGGGTATGAGCAGCTGGCTTCTTATCCCATTTGTTCTAGTCCTCTCCCAATTGGGCTGTGCATGTGAGAGAAGTGTGAATCAAATGGAAAATAGCAGAAACAGTGGTCCAAGTGGAACTGGGGGACCCTGAGGTTTGCAGTCTTCTAAGCTTACCTGTCCTTGTGACTCAACTTTTGATAAAGGAATACTAGCTTTGTCCAGACTCCAGGCAAAAGTGTAAGAAAGGCTCTAGGTCTTATAGACTTATTACCTTCTGTGCAACTTCCTAAACTCCAGACCTCGTGATTGCTGGGTGGACACCCAGGACCCTCTCTCTCTCCTGTTGCTTTCTGGAGGGGCCAGGTTCCGGGCCTGCCAACGTGTAAATTAGGTGACGTGGTGGAGCCAACATGAGCTTTACAGCCATATGAGGGTCCCAGGCCTGCCTCTTGCTAGTTTTGTTTTCCTGAACAAGTTCCTTAACTTTCATGAGCTCAGATGTTTTAATAAATATCTAGAAGAGGTGACTGACGCCTCTCTCCTAGGATATAGGAAATGGTTTGTGAACATGCGGCTCCTGCCGTGGAGCCACCAGTGATCCTATTCCCTCCCATTTCCCAGTGGCTTCATTTCCTACTGCAGCGGGCAGTAGCTGTGACCACTCTAATTACTCTACTTCATACTGAGGTTAGTGAACTTACTCCTTTCATGGAAAATTTGCATTTTATAAGCTGAATTCTTAATCTAAATGAATACCTAACTGGCAGATCCTGAAGAACTTTTAGTGTTTTTTTTTACCTGCACTGGTAGGGATCAAACCCAAGGCCTCCCATACCGTAGGCAGAGATCTACCATTGTGCTATAACCCCATTCTCTAGTGTTGGTTTTTTAAGGCCAAGTTCTTTTTGTACTACTTGCTTATTTTTGACCCACTCCAGACTCCAGCCCTCCCACTTCCAAAGAGAATGCAGTAATCCAGTTACTTTTCCTGTATTTGCTACTCCCTGGGACCCTGGGATTGACCCCAGAGCATCCTAAAGGCAGCACTTACATGTTTATCTGGAATTGGGGCTCTGAAGAAGGAGATCCCCAGCATGCTGAGAAGACTGACCAGGAGGAGGGCCATGCTAAAATAGAAGTAGTGTATTCTGCATATGGGCATAGGGCACTTGCTGTCCTCACAGGTCCTGCGTATGAACATAAGCTCAGGCACCAGTCGACATAAGCCAATTATAATCCCAAAAATCAGCCCCCAGAAGGCACCCTGCAAAAGAAGGAACCCCAAGTCATTTGAGGGGAAGATGGGTAATGACATAAACCAGCTATCATCACTTTCCTGACTAGCTGGGTTCAAAAGTTAAACTAGTTGTAACAAGGTATTGATGTCTTATAGAAGATAAGGTGAGTAAGGACACAACAGACCCACAGCACTCTCTTAGGTCAATCAGAGAACTTAAGTAAAATTTAAACACTACTGTGAAACCATGGATAGGCATCTCACATTAAAGTGTCCAGTATGAGTGCTGCTACCCCCATTTCCCTAAGTGGTACCTCTCTGGTTGCCAGGCTAAACCCCAGGAGCCATCTCTTGCTCTTTTCTTCCCATCCTGCCCTACCACCAATCCCTCAGCAAACACTGTTGGCTATACCTCCAAAATATATCCAGAATCTAACTCCTTGCCATCATTGCTATGGCTACGACATGAACTCTTGCCTACCATTTTTTTCCCCACACAAGTGGGCTCCTCACTTTTTCTTCTGATTATACACTGGTCTCATAAAAGCCAGAATGGTCTCTCAAAGCTTGCACTAAAAAATTCCATACTACTTCCTGGACTCTCCATTGGCTTCTCAGCAACCACCAAGAGAATAAGACCTCAATGGCACACCACAGTTGACCTCATCCAGCTCTGCTACTTTCCCTTCAGTCATTCCACTGCAGCTATAAAGACCTTCTCCCTGCATCTAAATTGTGCCTGTTTTGCTCTTGTCTTGGGGGTTTTGCACTTACCCTTCTCTCTGCTTGGGTGTTTCCTGTAGATTTAGTGTTTCTGATTTATTCTTTGGGTTTCAGATTCAAGGTCACTTCCTTAAGAGAGATATTCCACCACCTTACCTAATGTCCTCATTTGTCTCCCACTCCCTGTAACTTGCAGCCTACCCTGCCAGCTCCATCATCTTTGTAAATCTTTTAAGCAGCACTTTATCAGTATCTGAAATCATTATTTTCCCATTGGGCATTGTCTGACTCCTTCAAGTAGCCTGTCTATTCCATGAAAGTAAGATTTTTGCTTGGAGGATGCATGTACAGCCTGAATTGGGAGTGAATGGATATGGGGGGTGGAATGGAGAGAAAGGCAAGCATTGTAGTGAAAGAGCTAAACCAAAATCCAGGCAGAGGTTCCACAGGAACAAATTCCTGAAGGAGAAGGGCAGAAGCCAGAGTATGGCATCCAAAACATGACAAGAGAGAGGGCGTGCAAAAGTGCACTAAGTTAAAGGGGGAGCATATAATATTCCTGAAATTAGGGTCTGGGGTAGTAAGACAGCCCCTGGTCAGATCTTGTCATTTCTCTTTGGTAATATACCAAATCACTCCCGCTACCTGCTTCTTTTCTTACTCATGCCCTTCCCAGGAGGGCAAACAGAAGGAGTTCTAGGGCCCAAAGTGACTCCCCTCAACATTCTTGCTGATCAATTGAGTACTGGTGAGCTGGTTGGAAAAAGAAGTATTGGCTGGTGGTCCAGTGGACTGAATACCCGAGGTGAGCGTGAGAGAAATCATCGATTAGGTGGAGCAGTAAATAGATATTTCTGGCAAAGCAAACAGTTCATACAAATGAAGGGAGGCCAGAGGATGCAGGGACAGTTCAGCAATCAGCGCTGCATGCTGTGTAGAGTGGGTGGGCTAGACCCAGGGGCTGTGCATGGACGGCAAGGCAGGGCCAGATCATAAGGGCCCTCCAGTGCTGTAGGAATTTGTGCAAAGCCCATACCTTTAGTGCTAGAAAATAAGAAGGTTTAAGATATGACACAAAAAGTAAAAAAAAAAAAAAAAAATCACAAAAGAGGACACATTCAGGCAAACATTATACTTTCAAAGTGTTATTAATGAAATGACCAAACCATTAGTGGGGGTCTTTACTTGGTCTTAAATGTGGCCCAAAGAAATGATTCAAATAATTATGTGTTCAATACAGAGTACGTGGAAGAAGCCCACTACTGTATTTCCCCCGGTGAGTGTGGGATCTCTGAGGATGACACATTCACGTACAGAGGCAACAGAAGAATATTTTCCTACAGCTAAATATGTGGGATGGAGACTCATTCAGAGTTTCTCATCACCACCTCCAGAAGTTTAAGGTGATCAGGCTTGCATGGCATGGCTGAAAGTGGGTTTCATTATAAAAGGAGAAAGACAACTGAGAGAGCTCCCTTTGCCCCCAAGAACTAAATCTGCCCAGGAAGACATGATATCTCAGAAATCAAATGATGTTTCTCTTGAGTACCAGAGAAACCCCTCCAGGGCAAGTCTTATAAAGATATCTGCAGTGTGAAGGCAACCCCTTATACCATTCCATGCCAACACCCACCTCCTCATTGACTCTCTTGGAAAACACAGCAAGTATGAAGAGGGCAGTAATGGGTGGCGTCAGGCAACTCCTTATCAGCAGCATATATTCAAATAATTTTTCACTGAAAGCTGTTTCTATAATAGGGATCCAAACAATGGTGGTAGCAAGTAAGGTTATAATAAAAAACCTATAAATTAAACCAAAAATCAGTGAAAATTTGATGAGCTTTCTCCCTGGAAGTAAAATAGCTAAAAAGTATAATCTGTTAATGTAATTATTTCTTTGTTTTGCAGTGCTAGCGATAAATCCCAGGGCCTTACCATACTAAGCAAGTGCTGTGCCAGTGAGCTACATCACTGGCCCTATTTCTCAGTTTAAATTCAGCTGCCCACTGCTAATTATGGGGCAAGAGAGACAGCAATGTGTGGCTGAAAACCCTTTAGCTTCTGAACAAATAACCAATGTCTGCCTGCTACTAGATAATGGATATATATATTTCTACTATCTTTAGAAAGTCTGTTTACCCAAATTTGGAAGGACAAGCTGTCTTAAATATATATAATACATGGCAAATATTAGTTACTTGAGGAGTAACCTGTTTTAAAAAAATTCCAGTAGAATACTATGGCTCATGATTTTAAAGATTTTAACAAGTTCTGAAACATACTTTATGTAACATAAATAAGTATGATTCATCCCAGGTTGTAAAAGAGGCTCAACATTAGAAAAATCAATCAATGGAACACACAAAATTAGACACTCAATGTCTGCTTCAAGCAGAAAAACCAAACCCCAGTTATCTCTCAACTTACACAACAAAGCATTTAACAAAATCAAACACCTTTTTCACAATGAGAAAGGAAAAAGCAATGCAGGGAGTAGAAGGAAACTATCTCAGCATGATCAAGGGCATTTATGAAAAGCTCCAAACCAACATCATAGTAAAGACTAAAAGATTGAAAGCTTTGCTTTTGAGATCTCCAAAAAGGAACTGGTAGAGGCTACAAATATCCATTACTTTTTAAAAGTAAATATTATTACTATTACTATTATTATTATTGCTACTATTACTACTACTATTACTACTACTACACACTGGGAATTGAACCCTGGGCCTTCATGCTGAGCTATAACCCAAGTCCCTTTTATTTTTTTATTTTGAGAAAATTTCACCAAGTTGCTAAGTTGCCCAGGCTGGGATCAAATATTTGGTCTTCTTGCATCAGTGTCTCAGAGTGCTGATATTATAAGCATGTACCATACTTGGCTAAATAAGAGATCTTAAATATAAATATAGATTGCTGTGTAAAATTACACTAGATGAAGAGTCAATCCAAAGACAAATAAATATTAATTATATTCAAAATAATTAATCATATATATTCAAAAATTATATACAATTTTTGAGAGGGTGAGTGTAAGCTAAAAAGGACTTAATCATAGTCAAAGAAGAGTAAAGGAAGTGAACTTGACTGCAGTAATGACAGAATAAATAGCTGACATTGCACCAACCTTCCTACCGGTGATGGTGATGAACTCTTGGTCACATGTAAAAACAGCCTGAAGACCCTGAAGAGTAACCAAAAGATGGCAGGAATGGGAGGTGATTGTAAGAAAGGAGCTGTGCTAGGTGAGATAGTTACACAGGTTTTCTTCCAAGGGACCCCTCATCTTCACAGTATGGGCTGGTAAGCAGTTAGGTGTATAGCTTCATTCTTACTGAGTTCAAGTGGGACTTGGGGATTCAGAGTGCTTGAAAATTTGAGGGAAAAATTTCAGAAAAGAGAGAGTCACAAAGCAAGGGGGTCCTTTTTTTTACTACTCTCTTAAAAAAAAAAAAAAAAAAGCAAAGGAGTCCAGATCTGCACATCAATGTCCCTTGAATCCTTGGCTTATCCCTGAACTGTGTATGTGTAGGAGAAATCTCTACAGTTTACCAACAAGCAACTGCTGGAAGGCAGAACAGGCTAAGGAAAGATTTCAGTTGCTACTTACAGCATGGGAGACAGAAAATAACTTGGAATCCTATCAAGTTATAGGGACTCTGTAACCTCAGGCTTTTAACGGAAATCACAGACAACCTGGGAAGGTATATATCCCAGGGCTAGGAATTTGCCCCAAAACTAATAGCAAGAAACAACCCAACCTAACAATACATAAAATAAGACCTCTAGAAATTTAAGGTGATCAGCTAGTAACTTGCCTGAATGTTAGGACAAAAACCAATACTCTGTACAAGTATTATCCAAAATATTTAATGTATATTAAATTTACTAAGCCTGTGAGGAAAAAGAAGATAGGACCCATAGTCAAGGGGAAAAAACACAATTTACCAGCCCTAGTGGCACATGCCTATAGTACCAGCATTCTGGTAGGCTCAGGTAGGAGGATCACAAATTTAAGTCCAGCCTCAGCAACTTAGTGACTTAGTAAAAACCTGTCTTAAGGGTTGGGTGGAGGGTTGGCTGGGAATTATAGCTCAGCAGGAAGGCCTTGTGTTCAGTTCTCAATACTGAAAAAGAAAGAGAAGAAAAAAGCAATCAATAGAAACTGACTCCAAATTGGCTCAGATATTAAAAATAGCAAAGCAGTTATTATAGCTATTATTAAAGGATAGAAGGGAATGAGAGTTACGAACAAACAGATGGGAGTTCATAGCTGGAAACTATAAATACTTTGAAAAGGAGCTCAGAAAAATATAAGCAGGACATACACACAACACACACTTATACACACTTATACATCCTAATGAAACTGTTGGAAAATCAAAGGATTAAATCTGGAAGATAATGGGGAAAAAGAGCAACAGTATATAAATTATGTCCCATTATTTCATCAGAAAGTAGAAGACAGAAAAGAATTAACAGAATCTTTAAGTGGTGAGAGAACCTATATCCAGGGAAAATATCCTTAAAAAACAGCTGAGATAAACATTTTCTGATAAACAAAAACTGAGGATCTGCTACCAGCAGACATACATAATAAAGGATGCTGAAGAAAGTTATTCAGGGTGAAAGGAGTACAGATAAAAACTTGAACCTAAAAGTATAAATATAAAACACAATGCATCTTTCTTTATTTAAAAGGCAACTGACTGCTTAAAGCAAAAATAAAATCACTAGCATGTATTATAGGGATTTTATAGATGTAAAATATGTGAAAACAATAACAATATGGAAGAGAAAAATATTTTATACTGATACAAGATCCATCGTGTGGTATAGCATTAATGCTACATACACTGTGATAGGTTAAGAATGAGTATTGTAATCCCCAGACCAACCAATAAAATTAAAATCAGGATTGTTAAAAACTATTGTAGCCATATTACTGATGTTATTAAATGCAAACAGATTAAATACTAAAAAGATAGAGATTGCCAGACTAGATAAAAAAAATCAAGATCAGCAATACATGCTCCAGAAGAGAATTTAAGCTTATCTACAGGTGAAAGTAGCTACATTAATAATGAAGTAAACCTCAAGACAAGGGTTACTAGCAGATATAAAAAGGGCTATTTCATAATAATTAAATTCCTTAGGAAGCCATAATAACCATACATGTGTAAGCTCCTAATATCAAAACTTCAAAATATAAGAAGAGGGGAGGGAACAGACAATGAACAATCATAACTAAAGTGGTTTTTTTCTTTCTTTTGGTACAGGAGATTGATTGCAGAGCCTTTACACTGAGCTTTAAACTTGGCCCCCCATTCCTTTAAATTTTTTTGAGGCAGAGATTTTTGTCTCTGTTTCTTTTCTATTTTGTATTGTGAGATACTGCCTCAGCTTCCCACAATGCTGGGATTACAGGTGTGTACTACCATGCCTGGCTATGATTGAACAGTTTAATACACATTTCTCCATACAGAAGATACTGAATGTTGTGTATGCATATGACTAGATGAACTAGACAAAATTCAGTAAAAATACAAAGTATCACTGCATTTCAAAAGACTGAAATCCCACAGATTTATTGGATCACTGTGGGTATAAACTAGAAATCAATAGCAGTAAGATATTCAGGAAAGCTCCAGATACTTGGAAACTGAATAGCACACTTCTAAATAATCCATAAATCAAAGAAAAAATTCATAGGCAAATCAGAAAATATTTTGAATTGAATGAAAATGAAAATACAACATATTGAAATTTGTGGGACTCAGCCAAAGCAGGATTTAGAGGGAGATATCTAAGTGGTTATAACAACAGACAAAAGTACAGTAAAAAATTATCAATTTAAACTGATGATCTAAATTTCCATTTTAGGAAGGTAGAAAAGGGAAGATTAGGTTAAATTCAAAGTAATTAGGAAAAAAGAAATAATAAAGAAAATAGACCACCTGGGCATGGTGGCGTAAGCCTGTAATCTCAGCTACTCAACAGGCTTAGGAAGGAGGATTGCAATTTCAAGGTCAGCCTAGGGAATTTAACAAGACTCTGTCTCACAGTAATAATAATAATAATAAAGTAAGTCAGGAAGGAAGGAAGGAAAGGGTGGGATGTAGCTCAGGGATAGAGCACATGCCTAGTGAGGATGAGGCTGTGCATTCAGTCTCCAATAGAGATCTCACCACAGAGGAACCAACAAATCCAAATATTGGTTCTAGGGAAAGATTATAAAACTGATAAGTCTGTAGGAAAGTTTGGGCAACAGGACAAAACCAAGCCAAACTCACAAACTACTAATCTCAAGAATAAAAGATGGATAATTATTAGATCCTGCAGATATTAAAAGGATAGTAAGGAAAAATTATGACCAATTAGCAGTAAGTAACTCAGACGAAATGGACAAATACTTTGAAAAATCCAATTTAACAAAACTAATGCAGGGTAAAGAAAGTCTTGAGAGCTACACATCTATTAAAACTGACTTCATAAAGAAAACTTCTTATGAAGAAAAATCCTTATCTAGTTTCATTAGTAAGTTATGTTAAGTGTTTAATACAAAGTAATACAAATCACAGTTATACAAAAATTACTTGTTTTCTTTTAGAAAACAGAAAAAATAGTTCCCAAATCATCTTATGAGGGCAGAATAACCACCAAACCAAATTGCATCTAAGACATAAGAAAATCATAGACCAATATCCTTCCTATGCATAGATAGAAAAATCCTTGACAAAATATTAGCAAGTCAAACCCTGTGATATATAAAAAATGCAATATGACAAAACATGGTTTACCCTAGGTTTGCAAGGGTGGTTTAACCCTCAAAATCCAATAGCTGCAATTCTTTGCATTAACAGGATAAAAGAGAAAAAAAAAAACCCATACAATAATTTCAATAGCTGCAGAAAAGCACTGGATATAATTCAACTAGAAAATTCAACTCTAGAAAATTCAACTCTACTCTTCTGAAGATTTTAATTTAGCCCTTTGGCCTCCCACAATGTACAACAGTGGAATTAAATAGATGTTTTGTGGGGGAAATTTGTGCACGTTTGAGAGCTCTCAGGTTGGCACTTCATCTCCACAGGCTCCTGCAAGTGGTATAGGTTTCTCTGTCTCCTAAAAAATGGCATCTGTCTGGAATTTTAATCTAGCTCTTGTTGCTTGGAAGTGTCCTAGGAACAGAGGGGAATTTCCTCCACATGGTAACGAGCATAAAAATCCTGCAGCTAATGTCATACTTGATGGTGAAAGATTGAACCCTCCATCCCTAAGATTGGGAAGGATGCAAGGGTCCACTTTTACCACTTCTATTAAATGCTGAACTCAGGATTATATACAGAGCAATGAAGTAAGAAAACAAAAATAAAAATCAGAAAGAAGAAGCCCATCTTTATTCATGAAGTTGCCATTGTGTACGTAGAAAATCCCAAGGAATCTACACAATGTGTACTAGCAGCAGTTAAGTGAATTTAGTAAGATTCATAAGATACAATGTCAATTTAAAAAACTGTATTTTTTTGTACTAGTAGCAAACAACTGAGAATTGATATTAAAAACAATTCTGTTAAAAGTAGCATCAAAACCACAAGTTATTTAGGAATAAGCCTAATGAAAGATGTGCAAGATCTCCACACAGAAAACAAAAAAGCAGAGAGAAATTAGAGAAGATTATCATTACATGGCAGAAGGGCAAGGTGGCCTAACGCTGCTTAATCCCACTCGTGGGGGAAGAGTCCTCAATTCCTAATCACCCCTTCAAGGCCTGTTTTTTTTAAAATTTATATTAGTTCTCACTATGTTGCCCAATTGAGCTTAAGTATGATTCTTCCCATCTCAGCCCCCTGGTGTGTTTAATCCACTTATATTTCCTGAATTTACTGATATATTTGGATATGTGAAACTATTTAACTCACCTGCTTTATATTATTTTCATCTTTTTTAGATGTCTCATGGGATATTCATATATTTTTATCAGTTATTTTGTATTTTCCTCCTACTAACTTGTTACTTAAACATTCTTGAATCATTCTCTTACTGGCCAGTTTAGAGATTAAGTGCATTCTTGATATATTCTGGGGGCAAGTTTTACTTTTGCCTCATTTCTAATAATTCTAGAATCTCAGAATATTTAAGTTTGATTTAGTTTCTCATTTTCTCTGCTCTTATTGTCATATATTTTATATGTTATAAATCCACAGACAGTTTTTCTTATTGATGTTTTAAACAGTCAATGTTCATTTATATTTACACATATCTCCTCTTTCTCATGTTTGACATTCTTCTCTAAAGTTCAGTGCTGCCTGGGTTATTTTCTTTAAGCCTGAAGAACTTTCTTTAGTATTTTTTACAGTGCAAACCTAACGTAGTACATTCTTTCAGCCCTTGTAATTATCTAAGAACATATTTATTTCATCTTCACTTTAGAGAATATTTTTGATGCATACTGAATTCTAGTTTGATAACTTTTTCCTCCACCATTTGAATATGTGGTGTGCTGGCTGCCATAGTTTATATTGAAGATTCTACCAGTCTATGTTGCTTTCTTAAAGGTGATGTTACTTATTTACCTCTGGCTGTTTTAAATATTTTCTCATTACCTTCAATTTTCAGCAGTTTCACTAAAATGTAGTCTACGTATGGTTTCCTATGTGTTTATCTTGCTTTAATTTGTGGGATTTCTTGACTCTAAACAGTTACCATCAATCGTGATAAGATCTTGGTTATTATTTTTTCAAAATTATTTCTATTCAACTTGTTCCCTCTATCTCTGTGATTTCACTTACACATATTATAACTTTGTGTTTCATGTGTCTCTTAATTGTTTTGTGTATTTCAGTCTGATATTATTGATTGATTAGTTTTCAATTCAATAATTGTGTCTTCTGTCATATACAAATCAATGTTAATTCATCTACTGAGGTTTTAATTTTACACATTTATTTTTCAGTTCTAGAAGACATATTTTAAATCCTTTTTATAAATTCTAATCCTCTGGTAAAATTCTCAATATTTTTATCTATTTTATATATCTCTCTATTTTACTGTCTATGTTATCCATGGATATTTTAAAGTTCTGGTTTGCTAACATCATCCATGGGTCTACTTTTCTTTCTTTCTTTCTTTCTTTCTTTCTTTCTTTCTTTCTTTCTTTCTTTCTTTCTTTCTTTCTTTCTTTTTCTTTCTCTACCATCTATCTATCTATCTATCTATCTGTCATGGTGAGAGAGGACATTCCGATTCCTCTCTAGCTCCTTCATTAAGTATGATGTAGGCTTTTTAGCACAATATAGATAGGCTTCTTTTACATTGAAAAGCACTTCTTTTGCCAAATATCATTTCATTACCTGTAATAGGTACATATAATTTTCCTTTTTTTGATCTGTTAATATGGTGAGTTACATTACTACATTTTCTAATACTGAAGAGTCCTGCTATTTGCAGAAAAAGCACAGTTGGTAATAGTATATCATTCTTTTAATGTGTTGTTGGATTTGTGCCTAACATTTTATTTATTTTGTATTGGTATTTATTTATTTATTTATTTATTTGTTTTGGCCTTTTTAGACAGGGTCTCACTATGTGGTTCAGGCTGGCCTTGAGCTCACTTTGTAGCCCAGTCTGGTCTCAAACTTGCAACAGTTCTCCTGTCTCAGCCTCCTGAGTGCTGGGATTACAGGCATGTGCCACCACGCCCTTGTATTGGTATTTAGAAATCAGATTAGTCTTTCGTTTTATTATTTTTCTGTGTTATATTTGTTATGTTTTGGCATCAATGGCTTAAGCTCCCTAAAATGAATATGTTTTCTTTTCCCCCCTATATTCTCTAACAACTTAAAACTGAAATCAGTTTCTTAAAATTTCTCAGAAAAATGCATTTTCAACCACGGAATGGTAATACATAAAGGCAAATTCAGACACCTTCAGGGATGAGACAGGCAGATAAAATAGATAACAGATATGCATCCTGATGTGAGAAAAAGGCAGTGTGTTTCAGATTGAGCAGGGTGTGCCCACCTGTAATTCCAGAACCTTGGGAGGCTGGGGAGGAAGATCATAAATTCAAGCCCAGCTAGACAACTTAGTGACTTAAAGAGATACTGTCTCAAAAACAGCTCGTGGTTGGGGTGTGTGTGTTGGGAATGTAGTTCAATGTGAAGGCCCTGGGTTCAATTCCCAGTACTGGGGGAAGCAAAAGGTATTTTTTAGCTACAGTGTAGGTCATGTTAGAGGTGCATGGCTGAATGTGGCTGGTGGGTGGTCAGTGTGAAACTTTATGGAACAAACCCTTTGAAGACACAGACCTACTGGATATTGTGTGGCACCACGGTTAATTTCATGGCCCTGAAGTAGAGAAGTTTGAGTCTCTTCCTCTGAGCTACTATTTTTCCATTTGCAAAATGAGAATACCAACTGTAAAACTTACATTTAACAGTTACCATGAGGACTAAATGAGATGAGATAGTTTATGTAAATTTCCCCCAAAGAACTATTTGGGGGGGATACAATAAACTACGCTCATTTATATCATTGTGATTACTTTCTTTTTTTTAATTTTAACAAGTGAAAACCATTTTCTCTGTGACTATCAAAGCAATACATCTTCATTGCAAAATTGCAGCAATAAAAACCCAACCAAACAAACCCCCCCAAACCAATAAGACTATATAAAAAAAAAATAAGTCTACATTCAGTGCAACAGCCTCATTTTTTTCACATAATAACATACTGGGGTGATAGTATTAACTAATGTCATTGACAGCATTAACTAACACGATTAGAGGAATACTTCACCTTGCTGTTATCATGAGTTCATTTTCAGAGGCCTTAGGTCGCATCCAGGCATAGATGTTCATGGTGAACAGGGCACTGATACTGTTGAAAGCAGAAGTCAGGGAGGAAATGATGGCAGCACATACTGTAGACAACATCATGCCCTGTAGGCCTGGAGGAGAAAGAATATGTGTTGGATTTCCAGCTCCTTGACCATGCCAGATGACACAGGCCTCGGAAAGAACTTTTCCAAATACTAAATTTCCTCCTCTAAAACATTCAAATTTTACGTGGAGTAGAACTCCACCTATGGCATTACATCTTTTCTTGCTTTGTAACAAGACTTAATAGATTCCTGCTGTTTTTTCATATAATAATAGGAGCTAATATCTCCTGTGTGGTTAGTCTGTACCAGAACATCTCTTTATACAGACTCTGTACCATCTTAAGTACAGTCCTGTGAGATGGATCCTACTGGTTCCCCTCTTTTACATGTGAAGAGTAAGAGCTTCAGAGAAGGTTCAGACCAGATAAGAGTGATGTGCTTCCCAGCGCCTCAGTGTCCTCATCTGTAGAGGGGGCATGTAGTACCTGCCCCATTCAGCTGCTGTTAATACGAAGGTACATTTAAGTAGACAAGTTGGCACAATGCCCAGTATAGAGCAAGAACTCAGCAAATGCTAGCTATAAACAATAATCTGGTATTACTACTCAGAAGGCCATGTGGAAGGGATGTTAACTACTTTGAAGATTTCTATGTGCTGCAGGGAAAGCCTGAGGGAGGATAACCAGAGTCTAAACTGGAAGCCTGCTATGGCAATGCCTCAAATATCCTTAGCGTGCCAGTGGGAGCAGGCAGACATAGACGAAGGTCCTTAGATTTGCCTTCCCTCAACTGCCAACTCTTACTTTCATCCTTGGTTGTTTGTAGCTGTGGCATTTTTGGAGGCTTGGGTGAGGAGTCTAGATAACTCACTTTTTGAACTGTGGGATGGTTAGTTTTCACTCAATCTGATTCCATCTATAGTGTATGTTATGGAAATGCCTCAACTTTCCCAACCTATTGTCCTCCAGAACTAACACAGAATTAAAAAAAAAATATTCTTGTGGCCATTTTAGTGGGGTTTGGGGAGAAAGATGTGATAAATGTGTGAAGTCGTTATTGTCTCAAAAGGTCACTTGATTGTTGGGTAATTGCTCATCTCCTTGGCTATCCCACTGTAGGGTGAACTCTTTGAAGGACTAGTTTCACTCATCTTTGTGTTTTCATGGCTTAGAAGAATGCCTTACATGGTGTAGACACTATTTTTTGAGTGAATGCACAAAGGAACCAGCTCATCAGGTGACATAAATAATGTAAAAGATGTATGCAAATTGTGCCTCCAAGGAGATATGTACAAGGAACAGAGAGAGAGGAGGACCTGATCCTTTTTCTTGGGAGGGAGGTACCGGGAAGAGAACTCAGGATCTTTTGCTTGCCAGGCAGGCACTGTGTCACTGAGCTATATCTCCAGCCCCCAGATCTGATCCTTTTGTCAGGGCAAGCAAGGCTGCCCTGCCTGGTGCAAATGTCCCTTAGCAGCCTGTATTTCCATTCAGAATGATGGGCTAGCTGGTAAAGATGTCACTCTCAGAACCCTGCTCCTAACTGGTGACTTATAGCCCTACGGTCCAGGCTCCAGTGAGGGGGAGTCTACGGCCCACAGCAGCAGGGCCTGTTTCTTACCAGTAGGTAGCAATGATACCACCAGCTTTGGATAAGCGATAGGGCTACAACTGCGTTGGGCCCCACAGTACTTTTGACATTCTGAAGGTACAACACATGCCACTTGGTCTGCAAAAAGAAGTAATAGTCACATCAACACATTGGCCTGAAAGCTCTAACATATGAGCCTGGGATAAGGGAAGCAAGTTGGGAATTATATATTCACATGTAAATGTTAGATTTTTAGTTCACTGGTGGCTGTTTCAATTCATGATCCTGACATTCTCAGGAGCTGGGGCTGGAGGAAAGGGTTAGAACTTAGGCTCTTAGCAGTGGAATGAATTGGTACTTCTACCAACTTGTTGGGTCACCCAAGACAGGTCATGGGCCCTCAATAAGCCTTCTAATGATACTAGCTGGGTGTTAGGAAAGCCAGAAGATTATTTGTTTCATACTAACATGTGAGCAGCTCATAACCTTATTACTCCCTTGGACCTGATAGAGTTACTATGCTAGTTCTTGGCAGAGGGGCCCAATTTCCAACTCACAGGGAACTACCAGCCATGAGACCTGACAAAGCACTGCTTAACAGCTGAAGAGTAAATTGGGGAATGTCGAAACTAGTCTCAGATAAAACTGGAAAGAAATTAGGAAAAAAATGGAGGCACGCCTCAGGAGCAAACTGAAGGAGGGATTGGTGTTAGAGATGTCCATTGCACATATTTCTTAGCACTGAAAAGCATTCTAGATTCTATTTGCCTTTGTCAAAAGCACTGTGGCGAGAGACTCTCCCAGAAGCACCTGCTCTGCCCCTGGGGCTACACTTATCAGAGTAAAGCGCTGCATCAAAGTTAATGAATAAACAGATTTGTTACCCTGAGAGACAGAACAACCTAATAAGGCTGAGCTAGTAAAGCTAGCCAGTTGAAATGGCGATGAGATACAACTATGGAATTATGATAACTCATTAGGGAAAACACAAAATGCTTTAATAGTATTTAATGTGGGCCTTGTTCTGAATCAGGCTCACTTTGGTGGGTGCCTGGAGCTCCCTCCAGTGTGCCTGGGGCTGTGAGAATATGTGACAATATCTGTTATATCCTCTTGCAGTGCTTGGCACACAGGGCATGCCTAGTATGATATTGGTGATATGATGGGAGCAATTCAATATTCTAGCAGACTCTGTCCTAAAGTCATGGCTGAGCTCCTGATAGACAGAAGGAAGCTCTGACACCTGAGAGAAGGCACTGATCTGGTTCTTTCCTGTCTGAACTTATCACCCTGGTACAGTATTTCTGACATGTTATATATATCAACAGTTTCTGCTAGACTTCTGCTAAAAAGCATTCTGGGGCACCCCAGTGACCAGTATACTATGGGAGACCCGATAACCCCAAATACTCTCTATTTCTCTAAAAGAGGAGTAGCTGATTGGAGTGAACCCATTAGAATCAAGAATTTACCTGGGTAAAAAATGCGGCTGATCATTCCTGGCATCACCATGAGGAACATGGGCAACAGCTTCAGGTACCCATACAGAATGAAGCCAACATGCATGTGGGGTTTGCTCTTCCCCGCCAGGCCCCGCTGGACAGAAACCTGCCAAGAAAACACAGATGAGGGAAGTGAATGATGGCTCTACCAGGGTGTGTAAAGTCTGAGCCATTTCAGCACAGATAGGACAACTGTGACCTGCAGCAGCAGTAGGCTGTGCCCTCTAGTGAGTGTTTACTAAGCTGCTCACCAACTGCTCACTTGTCCAGATAACTCTGGGCCTTTCAGAGCCAGGGAGAGACACATGTGACCAATGAACACGTTATGTGCAGTACATAGCTGCCAGAGGGGACAGGGTGCATATGACTTTGGCCTCATTGCTAGAGCTGTGCACCAATCATGGCAATGCTAGGCATTTAAGCTGTCCTCTGGCAAGGAGAAAATTCCCTCCTGAAGGCCATAGCTTGCTTCTGTCAGAAAGACTGAAGAAGCCTTTGTGACATCAAAGTAAAGATGGGCTCCTGGCAATAATGAGTGTTTAGAGCAGGGACCAACTTCATTTATCTATATTGAACAAACTAAGATAGCCCTTTAAAATGCAAGCTTTCCTGGGAGATGTTTCAGCACTCATTTCATGGTGTCAGTGCTGTTAGAGGCAGCATACTGTTAGGTTGAAGGGAATGGTATAGCAAGCAAGTGGAGAAGCACTTAGGAGAAAGAAGCAAACAACAATGACAACAACAATGACAACAACAATGACAACAACAATGAGAGCAACAGCAACAACACCCAACCAAACAAAAAATGTTCAGAGCATCAAAATGATGCACTAAAAATTATGCTCTTAAAGAACATACAAATAAAGAAATGCCCAAAGTGACTGAAAGGCATAGGATACTAAGGCGTACTATCTGCATTGTGATTTTATGCTTACAAAACAGCCCATAGGAATAAACAACATGATAATAGTGGTTAATCCTATGGTGAGAGGATTAGTAGGTAGGATTTTCATTTTCTTCTTTACTTTCCAAGTGCATTCTTTTAATAACGGGAGAAAAACCCAAACGGATCCTGACCCATAAAAGGTATTGATTCTTGGAAAATCTACTGGCCACCTGCTGCTACTCCTTTCATGGAGAGCGGTTGCTCCTGAGTAAGTGGTGGGCACACATGTTTCTGTTCCTGGCCTTAACTTAAACCTGGGCATAGAAAAGTGGCATCTTATAGAGGGGATGAGGTAGCATGGCTAGGGGCAGAAATATGACCTTTACACTGAGGAAAATGTGACAATAAGGGCATTAAATCATTCTGTGTAGAAATCCTAAACACTTTAGCATGTTGTCATACATTATAAAGTGGGGGAAGGAAAGGATTACTGTTTATAAGTGGTGGTGTCCAAACAATTTTTCATCAGTTTATTAGCTTCTTTTGTAGTTAAAAATGTTTCTTAGGGTTGGGGATGTAGCTCAATGGAGGGGCCCTTGTCTAGCATATTTAAAGCCCTATGTTTTATCTCCAGCACTGCTAAACAAATGTTATGGCTTTTACCTAGATGTCCCCCCTTCCCCTGATGGCAACCCATTTTGAGGTTCCCACCTGTCTCTTTCAGGAGCTGTCTCTCGCTCAATAAAATTTCCTACTCTTAAAAATACATGCATGCCCCACCAAAGCCTCATGTGCTCATAGGTGGGGCCTTTCAGAGCTGGCTGGATCTAGGGTGTGTGATACTGGGATTAAATGTGTATGGTACTAAATTAGTCCCCCGGTGGATAATGGGAAGGCCTACCTTGGATGTGGGTGGATGGTACCATCAAAAGTCTTATAGCCTGGATGGGGTAAAAGGGAAAGGGAGGCTTGCTTCCTTCTCCCCTTCTGACTGCCATTCCATGAACTGTTTCTCCTCTGTGATGCCCCTCTGCCATGCTGTCCTGCCTTGGAGCCAGCCAGCTAAGGACTAAAACCCCTACAAACTGTGAGCCAAAATAAACCTTTCCTCCTTTAATTTGTGGGTGTCAGGTATTTTGTCTAAGACAACAAACAAAAACCCCAACACCCCGCCAATTAAAAAAAAACACATTTTTTTCTTAAACCATTTCATTTACAAGTTAGAAAGTTACATATTCTACTTCTATACTTTTTAATGATTACCCTCTAAAATTTTAATATGGATACAACTTAAAGTCCAAGGTAAATCAATAGTCTTTCTCTTATTCTGAACAATTTAAAGTCCAGAGACAGATGTAACTCTACACTGTGGTGTCACATTTGTTTGGTTTTTACTTCCCATTTTAGTAACTACTGCTGTTTTTCATCCAGTGCTGTAGATTTACTCATGTACCTGTCAATGTCTTTGATAACTGTTCCTTCTTGTTCTTAAGGACCTCCATTTTCTGTATTACATTCCTCAGTCTTTTTTTTTTTTTTTTTTT